ATTATATGTATATACGGCATTTTGTTTATCCATATATTTGTCTATGAACACTTGGGTTGCTTTCATATTTTGGTTATTGTGAATAATGTTGCTGTGAACATGGGTGTACAGATTTTTGTTTGTTTTTTTCCAACACTTTATTATGAAAAAATTTAAATGTATAGAAAAGTTGAAAGAATTTTACAGTGAACATCTATATCCTACCACCTAGATTCTACCACTAGAATATTTTACTGTGGTTTATCAGTATCCATCTCTCTATCCATGATCGGTCTGTCTTATTTTTTGATGCATTTCAGAGTATTTTGCAGACAATACACTTCCTTCTAAATGCTTCAGTGTGCACGTCAACTAGAATTCGGTATTAGTTTGGTTTTTCTTTTAAGATAACATTTATATACAATGAAATGCACAAATCTTAATTGCGCAGTTGATTAATTTTGACAATGCATGTACTTGTGTAACGGAAACTCCTGTCAAGATATAGAACGTTGGGGCCAGCCCAGTGGTGCAGGCGGTTAAGTGTGCACGCTCTGCTGCAGTGGCCCGGGGTTCGCCGTTTCGGATCCCAGGCGTGCGCTAATGCACCGCTTGGCAAGCCATGCTGTGGCAACGTCCCATATAAAGTAGAGGAAGATGGGCGCGGATGTTAGCCCAGGGCCAGTCTTCCTCAACAAGAAAAAGAGGAGGATTGGCAGATGTTAGCACAGGGCTGATCTTCCTCACACACACACACAAAAGATATAGAACATTACTATCACCCCAGAAAGTTCCCTCATGCCCCTTCTCAGCTGGTTCTTTCTCCTAATTCCACAAAGGTAACCACTATTTTGATAATTCTTCTACCATAGATTGATTTTGCTTCTTCTAGAACTTTCCATAAATGGAATCATAATATGTACTTTTTTGTGTAAGGCCTCTTTCATTTAGCATAATGTTTTTATCCATATTGTTGTATAGATTAGTGCTTCCTTCCTTTATATTGCTGAGTAATATTCCATTCTGCGAATATATCATAATTTATTTATCCATTGTCTTATGATGGACACCTGGGCTGTTTTCATGGCAACTTATTATTAATGCTGTTATTACTTATTTTATACAGGATGAAGTAATATTTCTCTTGCCTGTTCCCTCACGCTTAAGTCACTAACATTATGGCTTAGTAAATGCTTGTGAAGGGATTTTTAAAAGTAGTCTGTTTAAAATCCTTCTCAATACCCTGATAACTCAGCAAAACCATTTCTCTTTACCTTACATCTTGGCCAGTGAAAGAGATCAAGTAGTTGCTTATTTTAAATGTGTATCACACATAGTGGTGTGTGGTTTTCTTTTTTAATGCTGGTAAATAAATTGTCCCATAGGGATCCGCTAGCTTCCATACTAGGTATATCTTGGGATTATAAACTGCCTCCCAGTCCTACTCCTATTCTTAAGTTTTTGAAACATTCTTGGTTCACTATTAGGAGGGAGGTGGAAATAGGAGGCATTGTGTAGTTTCTGATGGTTGCAGGTGGGGGAGTTCTCACTGTAGCCAGCTGCTACAGCAGCACAGCAGCAAAGGGTAGCAGATAGGGATAGGATAGAGGAGATGGAGACATTACAGGTTATTGGTAGCTGAAGTTGATCTCTACTACAGTTGTAAATTGAAACCCAATTTTTTTGCAGAGAGAAATTCAAGTCAACTTGTTGCAGTATTTTATTTGCTAATTAGGCAGTACTACACCATTTCATCTTTAATAGAATGGCAAGGTGACAACTCTTAAAAATTTAAACATACCAACTTTGCCATTTTTTTGTCTACTATATGTATGGTGTACATGCTTTGTTTCTGTTCTCAAAATACCAGAAGAACATCAGGACTATTTTTATAACACAGTCTCTTTTCATTTAATTTGTAATATCCAAGAGAAAATGTAATTTAAAAAAATTCTGCATGGTTTAAGGACAAGTAACTAAGGATGTCAAAGAAGCATTTAAAATATTAAGACCCACTCTATTTTCCAGAAGATATGAAAGTAATACCACTTAATAGGTTAGCTGCCACCCTGCACTTTCAAAGCACTTTCGAGTCATTCATCTGTCTGAGGTAGGACAGTATTAGCACCCTTGGTTAATAGATGAGAACTCTTTTTTCCTTCTGTGTTTTACTGTATTTGAATTCCAGAATTTATCCAGAGTTCTCCAAACAGTGCTTGTGGTCTTCTGGTGGCCTAACAAAGATTCATTTTAATAATGGCTTTCCCCTCTTATCTCCTGAATACCTCTGGGATATTTTTTCAGAAGAGTTAAAACTAGAAACAAACAAACAAAGAATTGTCAGCTTTTGTAGTAACAGTAAAAATAAATTTAACTTGAAAATTTGTAAGAGATTATATTGTTCATAGAAGTTAAAACAATTATATTTAAAAATAGTGAAATACTTCATAAATTTGGATGAAGTCTTTAAGCAAATGTAGCTTTATGTGCACCTAATTCATGGTTTTCTTTCTGGAGGAGAGATTATGGAATTCTATATCTAAAATAATTTAATAATTACGTTGTATTGGTCCAGATATATTTGTGGTTAACAAAAAGAAAGGAAAGAAACCACAGGTGTTTATTTCCTGATTTTGTCATAAATGGTTATGAGGATAGCATCTCTGTAAATTACTGGTTATGTTATTACTGGAACTAATAATCTTAAATTAGAGCATGTTTACAGGAACCTTATAATTTGAAGAAGTAGAGTTATCACATTCAGACACCTAGTTATACTGGTCTTTGTTCGTTTCAATATAGAACATTTTGAAGGCAAAAATTCCAGAGCCTGATTTATTTTATCTGTGCTTATTTACAACTATGTTTAATCCTGCTCTTGTTTTTGAGCTTCTTAATACTGTATAAAAATATTAGTCATTAGATTGTCTTAATATAGATGTCTTCAGCACTTCCACAGAAAGTCATTGTCAGAAAATTCATTCTAATTCAAGGTTAATTAGTGTACCATTAAAATAATGTGTTACAAAAATTAATTACATCACAGGTCAAAAAACCTGTGAAAAAGCGTAGTGTAAATGTCTAAGAGCACATCATCCTCTTTAACTCATTGCTATATGGGTGCTACCTTTCAGGAAAATATATCCAGAGTGAAAATCTCTACTGAGGTCCAGTCATAGGTGTTTCCCCTAAAGTAAATTTTTGGCAGCACGTATGGGAAATTTAAAATATAACTCCCATTAACAGTAAAATGAGTTTCTTCTCTGCTTTCCCATCGAAACAGCTAAGGATTTATGTTTTAGCATTAGTTGATGGAACCGTATTGGGTTCAACAGGAACCTGGTTGAGAAGCAGAAATTATCTGTACATCTTGTGGTAAAAGTACTAGATATATTAATATTATGTTTTCTTACTTAACTATTAGTTGGTTCTGGTAGGTGCCTTGGGTAAGTATATCACACATCATTTTAACTCGGTAGTAATTCTTGTTAATAGCTTAACTTAATAGCCATAAAATGTACATTTAAAATTAGAACTAAAAATGATAGAGACTTTGAAATTTTATCTAATTCTTTTAATATAAAAGCTGTAAAACAGTTACATTGAACGATAGAATATTTTATACGTTAGTAATTATTCTGAGAGTCTTATTAAAATATCTCCTATTCATGTGTAGGGTTTTGGAATTAGCCCTGGTAACAGCAGGTCAGCACACATTAGAGCTACAGAAATTGTAACATAGGAAACTCTGTTCTCTATACATTTTCTACTTGGCTTTTACAATTGTCTCCATTTTTAAAAATTCTTAGTGGACTCTGAACAAAATACTTTTGCTACTACAATAAATAGTGAATGATTTGCAATTCACATTTTTGAATTTTCTGCTTCCCTTCTTCTTTGGATTTTGTGTAAGCATATTGGAAAATATATTTGCAGGTAAATAAAAATAAATTAAACAAATGAAAGAAAAAGAAAAAGACAATCTGTAGGGAAGAAATTGTCTTTGGGTTTTTTTGTTTGTTTCAAGAGTAGATCCTGGTTTAATTAGTTGAACTAGTAGGTGCGTGAAGAGAGTCTGAAAGATAAAGAGTGTAAGTGGGTTTAGAAAAGCTTTCTTGAAAGGTGCTTTTTACTCTAAAGCCATCTTTGTCCCAGCTTATTTCTACTTAAATCTTTTCTAAAATGACATAAAGCAGGGATTTCAACTTAATGTGGAAAAACATTCCATTCTTTAAAAATGACAACATCACTACTACCTTCAAAAAGTAGCGTTAAGCCATACAATGCTCATCTCTCCCCAAAAGCCCTTAGCTTTGGGGGTTTCGCTTATTCTTTGGACCAAGTAGGCTTCTTTCATATTTAGTACTTTGTCTCCTAACAGTTAATCATCTATTCTGTTTTACAAGTGGCTTTCACCGTCAATGTTTGAAGATAGACGCTAGTAGGCTGTACTAGTGTTGTTGAGATATTTCGGGGTGTAAATCTGGGATATTAAGGGGAAATGCTTAGCTTCAAACTGATTAAATTTTCTTACATTATAAGGAATAAACTTGAGCAAATTTAAATATACTACGTTTAGATTATGATTTCTGCCTAGATTTAAGTACTTATTTTTTTATCCATAAGATTTCTTTCACCAGAAGAAGTGAACATAATAATTTAAGAAAATTATCTTTTACAGTTATAAAGTACTTTAGCATTTACAAAGCGGTATCTTGTAGCTCATTCATTCAACAAATGTTATTGGTATTATTGTTGTTAGTATTATCCTTATCTCCACCTATGGGTAAGAAAACTGATCAGGCTGAAATAAGTCATTGGGCTAGTACATAATGGATTCCAGAAGTAGAACTCAGGATTTCCAATTGATTTCAAAATGCCTACTGTCTTTTATATCAATTATGCTTAGAATAATTAACCTACAGTTTTACATATTAGTTTGTCTTTCTTAAAACATTTTCTCTTTTATATGGCCCCACAACTAGCTTAACAAATTCATTTATCTTTTTCTATGTTTTTAGGGCAGAGCTCTACTCCATTGGGCATGTGATCGAGGACATAAAGAACTAGTCACAGTCTTGCTACAATATAGAGCTGATATTAACTGTCAGGTAAGAGTGATGAAGAGAGAGCTTTTTGAAAAAAATTGAGGTAAAATCTACATAACATAAAATTCACCATATTAACCATTTTATTAACAAAGTTGTACAACCATCACTACTATCTTGTTCCACAACATTTTCATCACCCTAAAAGGAAACCTTGTAGCCATTAAGCAGTCACTCCCTATTTTCCCCTCACCCCAGATCTTGGTAACAACTAATCTGCTTTCTGTTTTGATGGATTTGCCTGTTCTGGATATGGAATCATAAAATATGTGGCCTTTGTGTCTGTGGCCAAATAATATTCTGTTGTACGGATATAGCACATTTTGTTTATCAGTTCATCAGTTGATGGGCAGTTGGATTGTTTCCACCTTCTGGCAATTGTGAATAATTGCTATGAACAATTCTTGTACATGTTTTTTGTTTGAACACTTGTTTTCAGTTCTTTTGGTTCTGTACCTAGGAGTAGAATTTCTGAGTTATATGGTAATTTGATATTTAACTTTTTGAGGAACCTCCAAACTGTTTTCCATATGAGCTATACCATTTTACAGTCCCACCAGCAATACATAAGGGAATTTCTGCACTTCTTCACCAATACTTGTTATTTTCCTTTTTAATAGCCATCCTGGTGGGCATGCAGTGATATCTTATCATGGTATGATTTTCATTTGCATATCCCTAATAACTAATGATGTTGATATCTTTTCATGTACTTTTTGACAGTCTTCCTTGGAGAAATGTCTGTTCAGGTCTTTCGCCCCTTCTTAAATTGAGTTGTTTGTCTTTTTGTTGTTAAGATGTAAGAGTCCTTTATATATTCTGGATACTAGACCATTGTCAGATGTATGATTTACAAATATCTTCTCCCTTTCTGTGCGTTATCTTTTCACTTTCTTTTTTTTTTTTTTTTAATTTTTTGTTTATTGCAGTAACATTGGTTTATCATTGTAAAAGTTTCAGGTGTACATCATTGTACTTCTATTTCTGCATAGATTACATCATGTTCACCACCAAAATACTAATTACAACCCATCACCACACAC